TGGGTGGACCTAGCCCTGATATAGCGGAGAGTTGGTTGGAGCGAATGTTAGACATTTTTGCTGCGTTAGGATACTCGGAGGAACGGCAGATAGCTTTCGCCATTTTTCAATTTGAGGGAGCAGCTCGTGCCTGGTGGAATGTGATTCGAGCCAAATGGGATAGAGAGTAAATCCCATGGACATGGGTGAATTTCACTCGTGAGTTTAATGAGAAGTACTTACCGCCACTTGTTCAGGAAAGGCGAGAGGATGAGTTCATACGCCTACGTCAAGGGATTATGAGTGTGGCGGAGTACGAGACACAGTTTACCAAACTTTCTCGTTTTGCTCCAAAATTAGTACTGACAGACCAAAGGAGAATTCGTCGATTTGTTCAGGGTTTGAATGTGGAGATTCAGGAAACACTGATAGCTGCTCAATTGGAGACTCATAGTCAAGCGATTGAAAAGGCACAACGAATTGAAAGTACTAAGAGTCAAGTAAAAGCCTTTCATGATAAGAAAAGAAGGCACCCAGATACAAGTAGTTATATTGAGGGACAGAGCTCAGGGAGCGAGCCACCACCTAAGAAGGGTCGAGGAATAGGTGGACCACGATACACTGGGATGCCAAATCAAAGAAATATTGAGAAAAATCCGGTAGGGAGAGAGACCCAAAGGGGTACCTCACAAGGAGGTCCGACATCAGGACCTAGAATGGCATGTGGATATTGTGGGACTGCTAATCACATAGAAAATAATTGTTGGAAGAAAGGACAAGTACAGAAATGCTACCGATGTGGTAGTGCTGAGCATTTGATTGCTCAGTGTCCTCACCTACCAAAAGAAAGAAATTTGTCAAGGGCAGAAGGGAACACGTCTAAGTCGACTGATGCCACGGGTAATCGACCGAAAGTGCCGGCAAGGACCTATGCAATAGGAAGCCAAGAGGTGACAGACCCATTGGCAATCTCCGAAGGTACCTTCCCTATTTTCCATCATATTGAGGTTTCTTTCTACTCGTTTTACAAGATATTTAAAGACCATTGAGACTGTGAGATAAGGATTATATGGTTGGATCTTAGATTGCGATATATAGAATGACCAATTCTTGAGATAATCTTTACCACTACTGATGAACTCGAGTATTCCAACCCTTAGCTCGTTGATTGCAATTTCGAGAACAAAATTCTTTGAAGGAGGGGAGATTGTGACACCCCAACTTTTAGGATCATCTTTTGTTTAGTTTCAAAGAGGATATTACGGTTTCTTTAGTTTATTTTTATTTTAAAACATTATTTTGGTTTAAAGAAGAAACTAAAGTCATTTCTTTGGGTTTGATTTAAAACCTTGTTTTATTTTAAAAGACTTGAAACCCTAAAAGTCTAATCAAAACCCTAGTTTCACTTGTGACTGACCGTTTTCTCAAATTTCTCACATTTTAACCGAAACCCTAAATTCAATTTATGGAATTGTAAAACCCTCACGTTTTTTTCTTAAAAATCCCCTTTTATTTGGAACTTATGGTTTTATAATAGCCCTACTACCCAATCACACCACAATAAGTGTAAATAATATAGAAGTAAGGGTTTTCGTTGTCCGTTTTCAAGTTCGAGCGAATTAGGGTTTTCACGTTTTTTCATAGTGTGACTATTCGGTACGGAGTGAGGAACAAATTTGGTAGCTAAGAGTGACTTTTGGATGAGGAAATATTATATGATTTGAAGTGATAATAATAATTTAGTGATTAGAAGGCAAAAACCCTAGTATACGTGATTTAAGAAAAAAACGGCTCGAACCGACGGGTATCGATCACTACCGATTGAACCCACCACTTGACCACCACTTCCTTACCACCACATACCCTTGATATTTTTGCAAAATATCCCCCCTCATTCTCAGCCTTATAACCGAAACATGTGGCCCAAAATGGAAGGAAAAGAAAGAGAAATTTGGATGGCTTTGGTGGTGACAAGTGTCACTCACCTATGGTTTCTTGCCAAACCTTTTGTCTTGCCTTCTTAACACCATATTTATCTCTAAAAATAACTCCAAAAGCTCTTCATTTCTGCACCATAACAGCCGAGAGTGAGAGAGAGGAGAGCAAGAGAGAACAACCTCACTTCATCTTGAGTTTGAAGCATTTGAGTGAGAAAAGAAAAAAAAAACAGGATTTTAAACCTGTTAAATCCTTCTTTGAGTACTTGGATAGCTTGGTAGGGGAAAAGATCACAAGAAGAGGTGGTGCATAATTCTTGGAAGTATCTTTGAGAGGTATATGGGCTGACCTTCATATTTACTTCCCTTAGTTTTGTCTAAGTTGAGTAATACCTTGTAAACTTGCTTGTGATGTTTAGTCCATGTGATTTTGGGTGATTGTAGTGATGACAATGAGATAAAGTTTGAATGATTTTCTGCCTATACTTGCTGTATGATAGTATATGTTGTATTTGAGCTTATATAAGAGGTTGTGGTGGTGATTGAAGCAAAAAATGAAGAAAGTTTCCTTTGAAACCGTAAAATTCCAGATTTCTGGAAATCTTAGCTTCAGTTCTGTCCGGTTCTATTTCATCATGTTAAAGGCCGAACTAGGCTTAGCACAAAACATGAAAGTTGTAGAGAATGACATTTTATGATTTCTTACAAAATTTCAGCCCAATTTGAACAACGTCGCCTATTAAAAGACCAAAATACCCTCACTGCCCTAGGATGCATCCAGTGATCCGTTTTAGACAGTTCATCCAATTGACCGTGTCTATTCACTATGATTCGTGCTGATTTAGCCATTTGCCAAAACATAAAAGTTTTATTACTTTGTCTTAGATTTTCAACACCTCCAAGAACGCCTTAAACGGACTTTGGTAACTTGAGATATGGCCATTTGAAGGCAGTACAGTTAATTAGCCGATTAGTTGGAATTTGGTTCTGTGAATTGGGAATTTGACTGGGTTACACTAGAAATTAGACTAGGTGGTCTTCACCAAAGTTGTAGCTCTCTGCCTTATCTTCAAAACGGTATAAGTTACACCTCAATCTGATATGTGTAGCCCCGGTTGTGTCCGTTACGCAAAAACACATCAGATCTGTCTTTTGTTAAACTTCATTTCCGCACATGTTGTTAGCTTGATTTTGTATTTGTATGACCTTGAACCTATTGAACGGCTATTGAAATGAGATTATTTTGTGTGTAACTTTGGGGTTGTTGGAAGAAAATATTGAAGCCATAAATGGCTGAAAAATGGGTAAACACAAGGGGCATGCCGCCAAATTTTCACGAGAAACAAAAACTAGCCTTTGGAGTTCTAGTTCTGTATTTTGTAAATATGACTTGAATACCCTAAAAACTGGGTCGAGGTGTCTTCATGAAAGTTGTAACCTTTTATCTAAGTTTCAAGACACTAGCTAGTACATTTTGATCCGATAACCACAGCTCCAATTATGATCAAAATCGTGTAACCCGTTTTATACCGTTTTTTGATTATTTTTTACCGTTCTCAATCATTTCAGTTATAAACTGCTATTGTATAGCCGTTTCACTTATGTGTGCATATACTCTATCTATACACACTGTGAGGCTTTTGACAGTGACGGTCAAGCTCAGTGACTTGTATCGTTTTTCGTACCAAACTTTATCAAGTGAGTAATTGGGTTGTTTATTGATGTGGAATTGTTAAAGTGATTTGTATATGTTAAATGGGTACTTAGGCGAGAGTGTATTTTATCTCACTCGACCTAACCCCATCCATTGTTTTGATTTCCTATATGAGAATATATGCCTTATGTTGAGTATCACCCTTTTGCTGTGTGCTGATGGGGGTGATTACATGACTTGAGTATCACCCTTTTGCTGTGTGCTGATGGGGGTGATTACATGACTTGAATTGAACCCCATTTGCTGTGTGTTGTTTGGGGTAAGTACTTTGTTATGTACTTTGTCGAGAGATACCATCTATTGAGAGATCGGATATCTCAGGGCTTGGTTCCAAGGGTTAGACGAACTATTCGAGCCAGTTGGGGCTTGGTCGAAGATAGTTCCATGCTAAACTTGGGATTTAGTTCCTTGTTAAAGCTTTGACGAAAGCTAAGTTATTTTATTTCGCTCGAGCTGCTGTGTGCTGTTGACTGGCCAGCGGGGGTTGATAAGGTGAACGGGGAAGTTTAAGTGGAGTCTACGGACCATGAGTACTTTGGTTGACGGAGTGTCAACTGGCGTTCAAGTTCGGGGAATTGAATTGATTTTGGAGCCACCCGTATCCTACCATTGTGTTGTTACTTTTCTGTTGTGGATGTGAAATATCCTGATTCACTTGTTTAATTATGTGAGTTTACATTTTACCCCTGGTTATTCACTAATCATATAGCTTATCCCATTCCATTTATTTTCCTTAGCAGGGGGCCGACGCGGGGATCGCTCGGGAAGGTGGTTACAATTTTGGCGATAGAATAGTTGAATTGTACTTGTTATAAGTTGGCTAATAAGATGTATATATTTGTCGTGGTGGTTATAGTTATCAGCTTTTCTAGGGTTTACTTTCAGGTACTGGTGGTATATATGACATGATGTACTAATTTATGCAACCTTTGAAGCTATAATAGAGTACATAGAACTTACTTTTGGTGTGAACTTTATTTTCTAGTTTTAGAGTTTTGAGTCCTGGTGTGAGTTGGACAGGCGACCCGCCGAACCCTTTGATACGCCTTAGGGAGAGGTGGGGCCGTCACAGTAGTTGTATCTCTAGAGATGTTGATTGGCCACTAGGGAGAGGTTTAATTCACTCTTTGGTATACGTTGATCCTTAACTTGCATTTTTTTTTTCAGAATTTTCTAAAATTTTACCAACAAGTGCAAAGATGCTCGTCTGATTTGATGGCGGTTCAGTTCTGGTCCGATAATCAATTTGGGTCCACCCTTCCTGCCCAACTAGTACTAATATTGTTGAGGCCCACAAAATGACTCATTTTCTGCTGTAAAGGACGCGACAAAAGTTTGTTGAAAAGCACTACTACCCGGTGTGAAATGTGGAAAGCATCTTCTTCACAAAACCGTTGTTGTTTATTTGAAAAAACAAAAGGCTGCGGCATTGTTGTGGCCGAAAAGCATATTCTACACATTGTTTTTTGGGTGAGAACTGTAAACTATCTCGTTTCAGATATTCGTTGAATCTCAGAAATCTGCTTGTATTGTTGTCTAATTCTCAAAAAAAAAAAAATTCCTGTGAAAAATTTGCATTTATTTTGATAAATTTGCTGAGTTTTAACTACTGAATGGAGTAGAAGGCAATTATTTGGGAGGTGGCGAAGCTAGTGCTGGTTGCCGGAGTTCTGCAGTCAATTTCTTCAAATAGAGCTGATTACAGTGCTCAGTAACAACAGGTATTTTTAAATTCAAGGAAATCGAAAATAAAAAAAAAAAAAAAACAAGTTGATTGATGAGTTCATTTCCTCTGCTGTTTATATATTCTCTATGTTGAAGGAAAAATATAAACAACGGAATGAGAGAGATGCAGAACAGAATCAGTTACTTAGTTGTTTGATACCTTATGCTTGGGTTTTTTACTATTTTACCCTTTGTCAGTTGGAGGCTAAATACTTGATAAGCTTACTTATCGGTGCTAATTAATAGTTACTGATGCAATAATTTTTCTCTAAATAAAGTGACTATCTTATAGATACGAACTGGCATTCATTAAAATGAATTTCTACAATTGAAACTCCTTTAGATTTTCACCTAGAACAAGTCAAATCACATGAGCATCGTATAGTGCAATAAATTTGGTAATTAAAGCATAGATTTTTCTAATTAATGTATCTAATAAGACCTCATAGAGAGGAAAACTTAAACCGAAGTGCCTTATATGTTTTTCTAACTTTCTTTTGGTTTTCCTTATTTATTTGATTGAAAACTGTGTTTCTTATTCTTTTGAAGAGTTAGTTTTGCACTTACAATACGGTGATTCTGTTCCCATCAAATCAGACAACAATTGAACACGTAAATATTATATCTCCAAATATCCTTTCTTCTAGTATTACATACATGCAATGATTTACTGTGAAGATTCTTAAAAAGAAAATATCCCAAAAGGTATTAGATTTATTAGTAATTCTTCCAAGTTACCAATTATTTGTTTAACAAAATAAAATTAGGTATTAATCATAGCGAATTGACAGGAATGACTTTGAATTACAATTAGACATTGTAAATTTTCTTATAGAAATTTGCTGAGGGAATTATTCATATTCTTATGATACATTACTATTCATCTTTCTATACCTTCATTAGGGAATCGAATGAATTTGGCACTTCATAATTAACTTTGACGCCACTTACACTTCTTCTTAATCAATCAAACGGACTTGAATGGTCGGTCATGCCCAACAACTTAAAACACTATCACAGTAGAGAAATTTAATAAATGTGTTGCCCAATATCTTTTTGAATTTTTTTTTCAGCAGAAGAGGGGTAGGACTTAAGAATCGGGGAATTCTATGCTCAATCATAAAAAATTCTTAAATGATGAAGCAATAAGACTTGCAGGATACAGGGATATGTGTATATGCATAAAAGAAAATCAAGGGCGGTCGCCCATTGCATGTTTTTTAGTAAAATCTAAAGGAGTTTCAATTGTAGAATTTTTAGATATCTGGCACAGCTGCTGAAAATTCGATTAGTCCCTTAAAAGTCTGATTTAATTCGATAAATTTGCTGGATTTTACACAGGTGGCAGCTGATAGGCAAGGCGAAGCTCTTGCTGTTGGCTGCAGCTTCTACAGTCAGTCTCTCTGCTGTTAAAGTCCATAAAAGATTGCTCGTCAAGAACAGGTAAAGTAAATTCAAGAGGGGATAAAAAAGCATAAGAAAAACTTCTTTTGGCTCAAATAATTGACTAATATTCATTACTTAAGCTAAAACGTTTCTTTTCTCAAGCTGCTGTATTTAGTCATCTGTTCACTGTAATTCATGGCTTTTGCCATTATCATTTGACAAATTATTATATTTATCTTATATTTGAAGGGGAAAAAACCCTGTGTGTGAAGTGAAAGAAAGAATGGGGGAAAAAGGCTGAAAGGATTTTTGCTTTATAATAAAAAATAGAACATGAGGATTCTGGCCTTTACTTATTTTCCAACCTGTTAGCTGATTGTTTCGTAATCATTTAGATTAAGCTGGCCAGAAATCTGTTTTTGAAAAAAAGAAAAGAAAAAAAGCAAGACATTTGTTCATGTGAATTTCTTTAAAAATTATCCTCTGCTTTTCTTGCAGGTTATTCAGGAGTTTGGAACGAGGTTATTAATCATTTCGTGGGATAACTTATGGAATTCCGTCAGTTGATTTCAAAGCTCATCGAATTGGAGAAAAGTAAGAGGTTCTTCTATATGGATACTGAGAGGTTCTTCGATATGGATATTAAGGATTTGTGTGAGAGATTTTTAAACCCACACCTATTGGAATTGCCATTGCCAGATGTTGGAGACAACCAAATTTATTTCATCGTCAATGGCCTCATGAATTGCCTTAAGTTGAGAGCAGGACTTGATCAAGATATGATTGACCTAACCAAAGACCTTCTACAGAAGCTGAAGTTGTCAAAAAATATACTTGACATTGCTACAATGCAAGGTGTTGACCCAATGCAACTGATATATCTCTTGGCTCACTATACATTCATGGTCATAAATGCTAAATGGCTGAGAAACGTATATTTGTCTTATTTTTATCAAAGGGTGCCCCATGACATCCAATTTCAAATTTCTCAACTGCATCGCAAGATTGAGCTTGTTGATCCCCAATTTCATGCAACTTCTGTACACGTCATGAAAGCTTCAAAAGAACTATCAAGGTCACCACTCACTTTTGTTCCAGAGAAGAACAAGTATATAGTGGCAGAATTTGTTGACTCTCTCCTTGGTGCTCTTAGGCAGATACTAGATTTTCACATCACTTTTATGGTCCCTGTGCAGGATCATATTCTGAATCTCCATGAGGGAGTAAAGTCAATCAGTATCCTTCTCCATGTGAAGCAAGAGAATTTCAATGCTCTACCTGACAAAATGAAGGATCATATTGGAGTTGTGATCATTGATTTAGGAATTGTAATTTGCTCCATTTCAGTGAATGAAATAAAACATGGCTTGGCAAAGGGAACAGATCTTGCAATTTCTCGTTTGGTGAAAGATCTCCAATTTGTGATGCAAGAAGTTGCACAAACGCATCCTCCATCATCATCATCACTCAGATTCCCTAGGACTAACGAGCTGGGCTCTATTGATTTCTTCTTAGAGAATCTCCAGGAAATAGCAACTTCTGAGGCCGGTTCGATTGCTTCCCCAAAGGATCAAATCCAAATAATCCAAGAAGATCTTTTATTTTTAAGATCTTTCCTACAGAAAATTGCAAAGCAGCGCAACCAGAACGTGAAATTTCAAGCTCTTTGGGATGGTGCTATGGAGGTGGCCTACAAGGCAGAGTTTGTCATCGACTCTGTTGCGCTTGGGGATAGACTTGAATGTTTGGATACTGTTGCTGGAGATATCAAGCATATGAAGACTGAGGCCCTTAAAGTCTCTGACAGCATCAGGAATGATGATGAAGCTCAGAGAGTTGCCAACAACTCTATTCACTTCAAATCACAACTCAGTACCCTAGCACTGAATGAAGTTCTGGTGGGTCTTGATGAAGAGGTAAAGACAATTGCAGATAGGCTTACCAGGGGTTCAAACCAACTAGATATTGTTTCAATTGTGGGTATGGCTGGACTTGGTAAGACAACATTAGCCAACACAATTTACCATCACCCTTCAATTTTAGGCCACTTCCATTTCCGTGCTTGGTGTACTATTTCCCAAGTATACAGCAAGCAGAATTTGTTAGTTCAAATTTTGTCCAGTATTGGTAGTGGAAGTCATGATCAATATATTAAGATGCATGAAGATGATTTGGTTGTGACGCTCTTCCAGCTTTTGAAGAGAAATAGGTATCTTATCATTTTGGATGACGTGTGGGACATTGGGGCATGGAATTTGTTGGAAAGATCGTTGCCAAACGATGCAAATGGAAGCAGGATTCTGTTCACCAGCAGGATTGAGAATTTGTCTTTGCAATTTAAATCTGATAGCCAGCCTCACCATCTCTGCCATCTTAGTGATAAAGAGTGTCTTGAATTGCTTCTGAGGAAGATATTTGGCAAAGAAGATTGTCCTCCAACGCTAATCAAAGTTTTAATGCAAGTAGCAAATAAGTGCAAGGGGCTACCTCACACAGTTGTCATTTTTGCTGGAATTCTTTCAAGAATTGAGCCAGACTGCTGGCAAGAATTTGCAGACAGCCTCAATTCCAACACTTCTAATAGCACTGAACCATTGGAGCTGAGTTACATTCATTTACCTGAATATTTGAAGCCATGCCTTCTTTACATAGGTGCATTTCGAGAAGACCAAGATATTCCTGTCCGAAAGTTGTCATGGCTTTGGATCTCTGAAGGATTTGTCCAAAAGATAGAAGGGAAGAGTCTAGATGATGTGGCAGAAGACTACTTGAAAGATTTGATTGGTAGAAGTTTGGTAATGGTAACTGAACAAAGAACTCTTGCTGGTGCCAAAATTTGCCGACTTCATGATTTAGTACATGAGTTTGTTGTGGCAAAGGCCAAAAAAGAAAGTTTTCTACAGATTTCATATGGGAGTAATGACCTTCTACAGATTTCAAATTGGGGTGATGACCTTTCTACTTCTACTGGACCCAGCCCCCACCGACTGTGTATGTATTCGATGAGCGGAAAGGAGCTTGCTATGTCAAGGCCATTTTTTCCTGGACTACGTTGTTTGCTCTACTTTGGTTATGCTTGTATGGGTTCAGAAAAGCTGCATGATGGCCCCATTTGGTTTCTAAAATCAAAACTTCTTAGAGTTTTAGATTTTAGGGACATGCTTATTTCTGGCAATTTTCCAAGCGAATTATTATTGCTTGTGCACCTAAGATACTTGGCAATTAGCTTGTGGTATTCAGCATCCATTCCATCTGCCATAGACAACCTCTCAAGGTTACATACATTTCTGGTAGGAGGCAATGCTGTTGCTCGGTTGCCTAATACTATCTGGAACATTAAGACACTGAGACATCTAAGGAGAACAGAGTCTCCGCAGTCGAGTGGTTCAACACTTGGACATCAAAGGAATAAAACATTCCCGCCGAGTGGTTTTACGTTACCCACTCGCGACATTGAAAACTCCCCAAATCTAGATCATTTAGACTCTTTTAGCCTTGCAATTAACTGCTTTGGTGAACAATTGCAGAAGATACTGAAAAAGTTACCAAGCATTCGTAGGCTAAAATGCGTGCATGCAGATGCTGGAAATCAGACTGGGATTGTCAAGCTAGACAGTTTGAGTCGACTAGAATCACTTCAGCTGCATCGCTTTTATGGCTGCAAGTTTGAAGTCCCAATGAATTTGAAAAAGCTCACTCTCTCACGCAATAAATGGCCGTGGAGTGAAATTTCAACAATTGGAAAATTGCCCAATCTTGAAGTGCTTAAATTAGAAAAGAAGTCCTTCATGGGGGAAAAATGGGAAATGCAAGAAGGGGAATTCTCTAAGCTCCGATTCTTGGAATTGTCAAGATTGAATCTTTGCAACTGGACTGCCTATAATTCTGATAATTTTTCTCATCTTGAGAAATTGGTTTTGTATAGCTGTCTACGGCTGGAAGAGGTCCCTCTTTGTTTAGGGGAAAGTTCTACCATTGAAATGATTGAGGTGGAATTTTGTCGCAAGTCTCTCGTAAGTTATGTAGAACAAATTCAGCAAGAACAGATGGAGATGGGAAACCAGGATTTGAAGGTCGTTATCACACACGCCATTTGATAGGCGGCACAATTCTATTTATGCTGCAAAATTGACAACCCTTTTAGGCTTTTGTGGCATTAGTGCGGCAGAAAAGGAAAAAGCCGTTATTAAGAACACTCTAAATGACGGGGCTGTAAATTAGTTTATATTTCCTGGGGCTAAATACATTTTCCTGAGTAGAAATTACTTGTCTTTCGGGAATCTATTTCCCGAGCAAATATTCCATTTTCTCTCTCCCTTCTTCCCTTCTTTCACTGCCTCTTCCATTTTCTCTCTTTACAGCCAGAAGAGCTCAATCTGTATCCCTCTACTCAATTGTGTTTCTCCTCCATTATCTCTAGTAGTTCTCTGTTTCATGAAAAGAAAGAAGGCTAGATTTAATCCCTATTTGTGTTTTAATCTCAATTTTCTTCATCATTCATAAATTCCGATCAATAGCAGCATCATTTTTGAGGATTTTAGTGTCAATCTCTCTTCATTTCCAAGTCTTTGTGCATAAATTGAAGGATCCAAACATCACAGAGCTGGTTTCACTTCTCCAACTCTGAATTCCTAATTATCGCTGAGGAATCTCTCTTAGGTGTTGCCATTTAAATGCGAGGTAATTAGACTTTAGATATAACTATTTTAGTATGTGCAAATTTTTCATTCAGATACTTTTATTTCATACAAATGAAGAATTCTTACACGTTAATCCCATAATTGAAGCTTTTACAGATTAAAACATGGAATTTTATCGTGTTTTTGTATTTTCTGGTTGAATTCAATATGATTTAAGGTGGAATTATGAGCTTTATTTTCAAAACTTGAATGGCTTTGTTTGTCTATGCAGAATTATGTATACCTTTCTAGGTTCTGAATGCAAATCTTGTGTGTTCTTCTGGCTGTCTTTTCTTTAAAGAAAAAAGGTTTTTGATTTTAATAGTTGTTAGAAATTGTTGGCAGTTGTAAATAATTTTTCCTGCCTATAGACGCACAGAAACTCTTCTAATTTATTGACATATTCATTACTAGTTCCTTTTTTTCTTTTGGCTCGTGTCCTTTTCAGAGTTTTTTTTGTGAAGAAATTTGTAGTTTAAAGTGAACCTCTTTAGATTCTTTATTTTTTTGTGCTTTTTCTGCAGATTCTTGCAATTTTGGGGGGTTATGGATTGGCGGCAATTGGAAAGTTTTTGGAAATTTGAACTGTTGAAAAGGAAATCCATGTAGGTGCTTTCCTGGGGCAATTGAGAATTTATATAGCAAGTATGGCAGGTGGTTATTTCTTTTTGTGTTCTCCTCTTTGTAGGCATTTTTGAGATAGTTTTCTTGGATGTTACCAGTGTGACTTTGACGCCTGAATTGTTAGACAAAAAATAAACTTCTTTGCAACTGTTAATATGTATATGGTGCTGTTTAGCTAACACAAGTTCTATAGAATTTAACAAATTATGTTGAGAAGTATACTTCATCTTGATACTGAGGAAATTATGAATCTTTGCTTTTTGGGAAACTAATGGGTCATTTCTTGATGTCTGAGTTGAGTCATTTGTTGATACGTGAATCTGTGGGACCTACTTGATTGCTATTGTTTTCAGCTTGTTAGTGTTGGATATAGTTTTCTTGATAACTTTGACCAATGCATGTTAGTCTATGGTAACTGGCTTTATTCAATTCATTTTTTATTGTTCTGCTAAACAATATAATGATCAACCTGTTGCATTAAAACTATGAGGTACAGTCATATTAGGCCCTAGGAGGTATGTGGGCTTTATCTGGTTTTAAAGTTAATGACGTTCAATCCAAATATCCTTGTTAGCTATCAAATATATATGACCAACTGAATGCCATATGTTGAAAAATTAGACAATTCTTCTTCTACTGAATTAATTTCTGTTTTATAAACCATTCAGGAATTTCTATGGAATATGAGAACTCCTTATATCTTCTGTTGACGGCAGTAAGTAGAGGAGTAGATCCTCATATATGGTCTGATTTTTGCTGAGCAGGTAATCCCTATTTCTTACACATCAAGTACCAGAAAATTGGTTCCTTCCTAGCTTGCTGCATATTCTCATTATAGAGAACAAGACCATTGTCTAGAGTTGATATAATTTCCTATCTCATTTATGTATCTAAACGGGGAAAAATCTCATTGCTATTGCGTCACATAACATCAATATGATAGTAAGGGGTTACTAAGTAATTAATAGCACTGTTATGCTTTGTACAAGACTGTATTTCTTTCTCCTAGATTCTAAATCTTGCATAATTGATAGCATGTAGTTCTTCGAAATTTTCTTGGTAACCAAGTCTAATCATCTTATAACACATATTGCAAGGTCTGTAAATCTCTTGAAATCTAATGAGAAGTTGGATTGAGTTTATAGAAAAATCAATTGTTAGTTTACGTTCTTTTCTGGAGTTGAGCCAAAATTCTTCCTACAGCATCATCTCCGAGTTGCTATACCCAAAATTTTACTTTTGTATTAGGACACTTAATAACGTGAAAGGCTATGCTATATAGCTGTTGTAAATGCTGTTGATTTTGGGGGCTGTTGCTTTTAATTGACTGACCTCCTTGATCAGCATAACATGGTTATATCATCAATGGAGCTAAAGATTACATGCATAAATTAGGTTTACTTTTACTCATCCTTGTTAATTAGCTAGTTTAAGAGAAATTTGATATCATAGAGTTTGATCCTAGTGATTTTTTTTTTCAAAATAATTATCATGTAAGCAACTTCTTACGCGCCAAACACTGCCGGAGAAAGAAGGCCTCAGGCAAGTACAGTTGCATCATTCCAAGGCATCACAAAGCATTGCCTCAAGTGAAATACTTGTGGTCTGTCACTTTTTCTTAGGAATTTTCAGTGGTTTTATAGTTCGTTCTTTTTCTTCTTTGAATTTTCAATGCTTTTCCAGTTTTCTTCAAATTTGTTCCAGGCATTAGCATTTAAAATAGACTATGGACGTTTCAAGGTCAGGCAAATTCATTCTTAGTATATGAAAGTCCATTTGAGTGATAGCTTTCATTTGCTAGCACATTGCATTGACATGGTTGCATTGTAACTAGTTTTGGTGTCTATGATTCTGGGACAAAGGCTGCAATGCAAAAATTTGAAACCATGATTGTGAATATGATGAAAGCGGAGTGATTATATGCGTCTCAGAATGTTAAAAAAGATTCTGTATTAGGTTCTCATTGACACGGGTTCAATTCATGTCTAGTTTCATTTATTTTGGTATCTGGTATCTATATGGTTTGGAAAATGAGAAAGAGAAATAAAATGGGTTGGCTTTTTGGCAATGATTTTGCAGATGCTGAATATGTGGGGCTATAAAATGAATTAGGTGCATCTGGTCGAGTTTATGTGGATTGGACGGTTAAAATGAATTAAATGCATCTTGGCACTGGTGTCACATGCAAGTTAAGATGATCCGATCCTGTCCTGAGTGCCACTATTTTTAGCCATATGTTATCTTCTATTACTTGTCATGCTCTTATTTTCATTCTTGGTGGCTTTCATGTTATGTATTCCCATGCTTTAGCTTTCCTATACGCTAGTGTCCTGTCCGTTTTGTGGTCTGGAATACAGATTGAATTGTTGTAGCCCTTAGAGATAGGTTTCTTTCTTCTCAATCCTATTGATCAAACTTCTCTCAATAAATTATAGTCTTTGAATCCCTATTTCCTCGAAATCAAATATACTCATTTAGTAGTTTGGGTTCTTTTATTTTGAAAACTATAATTTTATCCTTACCGCTTACTTCTTCTCGTTGCAATATTGGTTTACATTTTTATAAGAATTTAAGTATTGAATGTGTGTGTTATATTCGCCCTGACTATACATGCAATGGCTTCCATTTTGACTGCTACTCCCGAAAAAGGCCTAAGCTTGGACTAGTTGGTAAATTATTGCCTATTTTTTCCTAGGTGGTTTAAAAAATTCTTCAAAATTTTGTAACAGGAAAATCACTCTGTTTTATCTCTTTTTTGCAGATTTACTGGAGTTGAAGGTCCAATTCCTTCCTAGCTAGCTGAAGATCTACTTAGCATTTTTTTTTCTTGCAAAATGGTAGCAGAAGGAAGCAGGGTACAAAGAGCAAGTTTACAAGGAAAGGATTGTGAGGGCATGCAAACAATTCATTTGAGGTAGTTAAAATGCTCCACGAAATCTTTTTCAAGTTGACCATCTTTGTTCTCTTTTGTTCATTGGCAGCGAAATATATTTCTGTACTGTTGCAGGTGCATGGTTGATACATGAAGATATTCTTGAGGGATGCAAATGTAGAAAATTTACTTTTGAAACCCAGGCATTTGGATGGATGAATTTTTTGCAATGGAACTGAATTTTTAATTTGATTTTGGCAGATAGTATTTCCTTTATTGGATGACAGCAATGAAGCCTATGGTGCTGATTCCACTCATTAGGATAGTTTTACTTCTGTAGAGTGGTATTCATATGTGTTGAATCAGTTCAGTTGCATTAGTATTCATGGTTCCTTGAATTGAATTTTTGTAGGTTCAGAATTCTCGTGATTGCAGTGACAACCATGGTCATGGCATTGTCTGTCACACTAATATGCTCTCCATGCTTTTCTTTTCCTCTTTATCGAGTTGATCTGGAATAATCTTAAGGGAATAATCTATATATCATCCGAATTTCTGAAATCTTCTGTTGCACTTATCAGTTCCTTCTATGTATTGTAGTCAGAGTAATATAGAAAATTGTAGATGGCTTCTACTTGTCCCATAGACACTAAATGGCTCATGGAAGGTAGTGAGGAAAAGGAAAGACTTTCCCTTGGAATTTGTTTCTCACGTCTGGTTGCAGAGGTAAAGCAGCAGGGAAAAGGAATCAAAGAATTTGGTGAGGAGTTTGGAAGTATAATTTGCCTACAATCCCTTTGCTCACTAAAATGTGCGGAAACGAAGGAATTGGTCATCTGTTGCAGGTCGAAGCGCCCATTTTATTTCGAATTATATAGGACTTCCACTGAGATTTGGCAGTTTGGGATTTGTGTCTGTGCAAGAAGCAACTGAAGGAGGCATTCTGGATCTTTTCTTTGGTCTGAAATGTGAAGTATTCGACATGACTAGGAAGCATAAAACAACTCTAATGTTTCGAACTCAGCACAGTTCATGGGCTGTGCTCTAGAGAGGCTTCATTACTATTCGTAATTGTTCTTTTTTGGTTCAAAGTATGTTGATTTAGTCAGAATCTTTCCTGCGATGCTTTTGAGTCTATCATGCTCTTTCATTTGAGTTCATGTTTATGATCAGTTTGTGGTTGGATTGAACACTGTTGATATATTCTGTACATGTACCAAGATACTAACTGGCATAAGTGGTCTTGCAAACTTCAATGATAATTTGCAAATCATATGTAATGAAAACTAAGAGGTAATAGCCATGATCACATAAACGAGTAAGAAAATTCAGGCTCTTTTTTCGAGCAACAGGCCATGTCACTTCTGCAAACTGAAAATGCAGAATTTCTTCCAATCATCAACTGGCTCTGTTGTATCATTACACCAATGAAAAAGGGTGGCAGCTCTGCTGTAGACAGAGTAGATGCACGATTCAACACTAACTACACATTTCTCATCCAGAAAGTACAAGTGCATCTAGAGGATGTATCTTTGTATTCATAAATGGCTTGTACAGAAAAACTAAAAGTTGAGGAATCGAAGTTTTCATTCACTATCCAGTTGAAAAAATACAATTGAATTGATGGAATGGCAGCAAAACTGAATGTAACAGGAAGATGCTACATCCATATTGCATGTTATCATCTAAAGCTTTCTGAGTTAAAGCGGATACAACTCTTGTCAAAACAAATTCTTGATCAATGGAAAAAAAGAAGATGACTTTTTCTTTGAGAAGCTTACATGCAGAAAAATTAATCCTTGAAGGACATTGAGACTCGATATCACTGATGGCTTCCAAGAATTGGTTGTTTCTTGGACAGCTGTTCCTAGGCGAAAAGAAAATTGGAAGCTGGCCATGGAGTGAGGATTTTCCCATAGCATTTTCGAGTGAAATGGTAATTGAAGCAGGTGAAGATGTGGCAGTATGAATGGCGGGCTCTTTTAGTTTTGTTTTCTTTCTATCAATGTCTAGCAGCCCAGTTCTTAGGTGTAATACTGAGATGCCATAGTTTGTATAGCTGGTACTATTGAGCTATTTTGCTCTCTGCTGGTAAATTCCCTACTTATCACGTCAATAAAATTTTTACATTTTGCCTGAAATAAAAAAGATATTAACCTATTCCCCTTCCAGGAAAAGGAATAGCCAAATTTTTTGTTAAGAAAACATGGTCATTAGTATGAATCATGTGTTCAGATTCACGATCATTTATTTTTGCTTGTCTTGTATATAGGGGTGGCTAACCTTAAAAATCCCTCTTCCCTGCATATCTAAATATTTTACCAAATTCTATTGGATAAACCTACTAGTTTTAATTCCCATTACCAAATCCTCTCACTCATGATTTCAGATTGTCCATCGGCTATCCTCGACCCACTAAAGCATCGAGTCTTGGATTTTTATGATCCTCTTATTATATTATATTGGGTTACTTATCGGTAACTTCTCATAAATATCAAATCCTGACAGATAACTCATCCGTTATTTAATCGAATTAACCATCGAATTGAATACTCGTAGGTATCAGATCAGGCAATGTCAAGTACATGTGTATGGATCAAATAGCCGACCCATTACCATCCCTAATTGTATGTGTCAATCCAGGCAATGTCAAGTACCATGATTATCATCCTTTGCAATTGCAAATCAAATTCAAAATTATGAAAATTTTTTACATAATATTTAGTTCAAATTTATGTATTTTTATTGTTCTATTTATCAAATAAAAAGTGATTTTGCAACATACTAAACGGGGATAAAATTGTAATTGGACTTGATGGGTATTATAAATAAATATTCAAAAATAGGAATTGGGTCTAAACTCGAAGAGTGCTATAAATTGATAATTGAGTTTATAAATAAATTTAAATAAGTTTGTAAAAAGTTAAAATAAATGAGCATAGGTATTTACATGGATCATTTTTGGCTTATTCATTTGTACTTGTATAAATAGGCTGATATTCAACTTGGTATGAATGAATTGATCCAATTACACCAATTACTCAGTATACCAAACCCGTCCTTGTTGCTCGAATTGCCACCTTGCAATGTTCTATTTACTTGCAACTTAATGAACTACCTTATTAACCATTGACTATGCGCAAAGGTGAAAATGATTTTCGAAGATATGTAAGGTGACCAAATGGAAACGAAGAAATTTTGTTTGAAGCAATTATGAAAAGAAAAGGATAAAAATTTATGTAGCACTTGAATTACTAACCGGTATTTTCTAACTTACTTTTTCTTTGCATATTTATTATCTTAGCTCCTTTTTTAACCTAATTTTCTGTTCTTGGTGCATTTGTTGGTTAATCAGTCAAAAATGGTAAATTTTTTAAAGTTAATGACTCAAATTCCCAACATTTTATGAACTCAAATTATCAAATATTTAAAAAAATTAACGAAATTCTTGAACTTTTAGTGCAATTGGTAATTGTATAGTTGAATTTCATTTTTTTTAAATTTTGTTTCCATTTATATTTCCTTTTACAAAACCCATAATCCAAACAAAGGATTTATTTTCTTCGGAATTATTTTTCATTTTCTTAATACTTTCCTTTGTCAACCAAACGCAAGAAAAGATTAGGGTTTTCCAGGAATTTACTTTCCATTCTCTTACTTTCCTTAGTGGTTTCCTAGAACCAAAAAGGGCAGTAAAGATATGGACTTTTTTTTTTTCTTTGGTAACATGCGACAACTTTCTGTCCTTTATAAATCATCATTATGTGGAAACTTTTATTTGTTAACGTCTTTACTAAATTAGTATCTACACTACATATAAAGCAATGATGAAGGGGTTTGATGTTAACATTGGAATTTAAGATTTATTGTCATTTTATGAATTTAACCTTATAAAAACTATTTTTATTTTAATTACCTATAAATACCCATCTATTTTTACTAAGGAAGGGGTTGGGGTTAATGTTGGAAATAACACTTTATGGATTTCCTTTTTTGCCCTTATAAAAACTACTTTTACTTTTGGGATAATTTCAAAAACCTCCCCTGAGGTTTCTGACAATATCACTGGCCTTCCTTGAAGTTTACAAAATTAAACAAACCTCCCCTGAAGTTATGATTTGGATAACAAAATTAGTCAAATTAGAAAGGTAACATTAAAAAAGTATTAAAGAGAGAAATGAAACTCTGACTCCATAAATACCCCTTATGCATGTATATAAGTTGCATTAGTAAAAGAATAAAAATAATTAAAAGTTACAAATAATTAATACACACATTTCACCATTCAAAAAGTTCACATTTAATAAATTAGACAATACAAATAAGCAACAAAATTACATTAATGATCACAAGATTCAACAAAACAGATGAGTCATCTCTTTTAACATGATATATTGCTATGATTCTTGTGATTTTGAACAAACATTTTTTCAAAATTTGCCTTTCTTTTCCCTCCTTCCTTCATTAGGTATATCAATTGATATTATTTTGTAAATATAAGTCATCTTTCATCATTAAAGAAATTTTTAATAGTTATTTTTGTTAATTAGTTACTAATATTTAATTAGTGCTCTAATTACTTAATCGTTAGATATTAGTAAAAGAAAATGGAGGAAAAAGAAAAGGAAAATTCGAAATTTTTTCTGTTCAAAATCACAAAAATCATAGCAAACATCATGTCAAAAGAGATGATTAATCTATTTTGTTGAATCTTGTGATCATTAGTGTAGTTTTGTTGCTTATTTGTATTGTCTCATTTATTAAATGTAAACTTTTTGAGTAATAAAATGTGTGTATTAATTGTTTCTAATTTTTAATTAATTTTATTTTTTTACTAATACAATTTATATACATGCATAAGGGGTATTTGTGGAATCAAAGTTTCATCTCTCTCTTTAAAGTACTCTTTAAATGTTACTTTTTCTAATTGGACTAATTTGGTTATCAAAACTTTAATTGCAGGGGATATTTGTGTAATTTTACAAACTTCAGGGAGGCTAGTGATATTGTCAGAAACCTTGGGGGAGGTTTCTAAAATTATCCCTTTACTTTAATTACCTATAACCACCCATGATTATTTTTACTTTTGACTATTTAACAATATGTTTTCAACTTAACTATCCCTAAATATTATAACTACCAATATAAAATTATTTCATGGAAAATATTTAAAAGATTAAAGTATGGTTCAGTAATAAAAATTTTATTTAAAATATATGACCATAGATATTATATATTTTTTGATTGCACACTCATTGGGTGCATTGAGCACTAGTTAACAATAATATGCAAGCCAGAAAGCTAGCTGGCATTTTATGGACATTATTCATCTAATTACTCGACATTTAACTAGAACAATGGAGAAAAGGAAAATAATAGTGTAATGCAAATTTCCAATTTGATTACTAAAACAAGTTTCTTTCGACATAACCTTCCATAAAGGATAAGTGCATTAGTTCTAAGGTAATACATAACTTAAACCATAATTTCTCAGGTTAAACATTCACATAAATGTTTTAGCACATGTTTTAGGCCTTGTGACCTTTACACGATAATGTACAAGATTAAAGCCAAATTTTTGCTAGGAATGGCACCACTTAAGAATGCAGTACCTGCCACTTGGGAATAGCACACACTAATTATTATGACTTAGAAGGCATTTGATAATTCCATTATGCATTTACAGTTGGCTCTATTTTTTTTTTTTCAAATAAAGCCTGCTTCATGACATTGAACGCCTCTTAATTTGTATGTCAATTACTTGCTCTGTTAAACTTGTGAACAAATTAGTACTTGCATGACATTAACTTTTAAACATGTACTAGCAATTCTAAAAAGAGGGAGGATTTGAATTCCATTCCTATTGAAATTTTCAATTTATCTTTTGCAAGAGTTTTAGTAGAAGTGGATTTGCTATGTTGCACGAGTCATAACGTACACAATGGTGACAATTCTATCACGAGTCTCTCACCAACTTTCATTTTTAACCACTCAGCCATCGACGAGTGTCAACAATAATATCAGTATTTCTTTAATACCACATCCCCAAAAAGAGGAAAAAAAAAAAAAACAAATTGGTTAGCCACCATTGTACAAGTGTGGATTGCCAATGCCGCAACT